ATGGCGTCATCAAAAGGCGCAGGCCCCCGAGTCAATCTGGCAGCCTGAGTCAATCTGGTACCTACACCGGCCCTTGCACGCTGAAATTAGGACCGTTCCACCGGGCAAATGCCTGGGATCACAGATTACCAGTCTGTGCCAGTCACACAGAAAAGCATGGCCTCTAATGCCCTGAGATCCAACGATCAGCTGTTGCTCACTCTTCCTTTTGCTCTCGCAGAACTAGGGAAGAAAGCCTTTAGCTACGCAGCTCCTTGTGTGTGGAATTTTTTACAAAGAAACTGGAAGTTGACTGAGTTTTTATCTTTAAATGCTTTTAAGTTGAAAGTGAAAGAATTTGAAGCAGCCTCAATGATCTGTAATTGTTTTACTCAATATCTTTTTTTTTAATTTAATGTATCTCTGTTTATTATGTAACTTTGCTGCCTCTTGGCCAGGACTCCCTTGAAAAGGAGGTTTTTAATCTAAATAGTTTTTTTCCTGGTTAAATAAAGGTTAAATAAATAAAATAAAATAAAAATATGTCAGCTTGTGTCAAACGGGGCTGATTTTAAGCTCTTAAAGGTAGGCTCGTGATTTGATTGCTTTCTGAAGCTACCAATAAGATTTAACGGGTCAAGTTAAGGCGTTTAAGAGGCGGGATCTGTTGAGCCGTTTTATCCAATCACAGCCCTCCTAAGATTGTCGATAACCAATCAGAAACGAAGTTTCACCTGCGAGCGATAGATGTCTGAGGAGCACATCTCTGAGGACGGGAGTACAGCGCTGTTATTCATGGTGAGTAATTTGATGCTGTGTTGTTGGGCTGTAACGTTAGAATGTCTTAAAATCTTTATGGAGAAAGTTTATTGTTTCAGATGCTGCAGGTGGGTCTAAACCTTTGCTCAGACTAACCGGAGAATTAGGGCGTTAATGTTACTTCCGTTCCGCGGTGTTCATAACGGGATGATGTTTAACCCTAAAGATGTTGAACCACATAGTTTGGCACTAAGAAGGAAATAAACGCTGTAACTGTGTTGTGTGAATATTAGAAAGCTGTTATCTTAATTGTCTAAGGGAAAAAGTGCATGAACCGTTCAGGCTGTAGATCTCATGGAAATAGTTCACATAAATAGTAGCCTTGAGTGACTATTTGTTACTTTGTAATAAGAGGGTTATTATTTTGTAAGAAAAAAAATATGATAAGATCCAAGCACCCATTAATTTATTAAGGTGAAACTATTCACTGATTATTTTTTTCTTGGTGGCTGTATTTATTTCCAGAGACGTTGCTATTTTAGAAAGAAAGGGGGGCTTAGCCCCAAGCTTTAGGTAACTTTTTCCTTACAGATTGTTTATGTTTTTTCTTTCTCAAAGTTAAATATTTCAGATGATCAAACATATTTTATTCTCAGAATAAAATATTTTGAAAGCAGTTTGCATACTGTTAATTCATTTGCTTAATGGGAAAATTCCGGTTTTTAACACTTTTAGCCCATTTTCTGTAGTGTCCAGGATGAAATCGAATGATCGACACCAAAATTTTGACGATTCTAAGGCGAGTATCTGTTATGACATCAAGAA